ATATTAATTAATTTGAAATCAAATCACGTTAAATTTTATAAAAAAAAATTCTCTTAATATCGATTTTTTTATTTACAAAAATCAAATTTAAAATTTTATTTTAAAAAAATTAAATTTATTTTATTTGACTCAACAAAACATCCATAAAAACTCTTTAAATACATATACGAAAATGGGCCTCTACAGCCAATAATTGCCTCTCTTTTTTTTTTTCTGCCTTGCAACATAACCACAACTACCTTCCCAAGTGTCACAACTACCTTCCCAAGTGTGTGTAGTGCGTAGCCAACCAGCTGGTTGGCTCAAGTAAAATAAGTACAAATATGAAACATATAAATTAGAAACTTAAATTTGAATAACTCCATCACTATCTAGCTGCAAATAATTTCGGCAAATATGTTTGAATCACGTTATTTTCATTTAAGTGCAATCATTTCAACCGTTCACACTCAAATTATATACATATATGTATTATTTGTTTGACTTAACTGATATTTTGTTTGATTAGATCTTTTATGTCTAAAAGGATGGAATTATATAAAATAATTATAAATTTTTAAAAAATAATATTAAAATGTAAATGGAGAATTAAGCTCAATGAATCAGGATCAATTGAACCTGAAATAAAAAAAATATAAAATTAACATATTTATTTATATATTTTCTCGACTTTTTATTGTGCTGAACTGCTCTAGACATGGGACACCGCACACCTTTTGCTTTTGCTTGCTTTTACTGTTGGGTTCGTTTCGGCCCAAATCAGACATCAAAGAACTGAAAACTGGGTTCTGGACTCCTAATTAAGCTGTCAGGCTCTCAGATCTCTAGTGGGTTCTGGCCCTTCTGGATTTCTAATTGCGCTCGCAAGCCTTCTTCAGGCTGGAGTTCAAATACCATCTCCGAACAAAATTTTAGCACCCTCTTTATTTTGAAGATTTTACTCTAATTAATTAAAGGAAGCTGAAAGGAGGTGGTAAATCTTCTAGCAGAAGAACAAAAAGTTTAAGAAACTGATTGGACGAGGTTGGGGTAGCTGAAGCTTGAGGGGGAGAAGAGTCAAAGGCAGACAATATTGAATGGGTGTGGGTGAGATGAATAGTT